ATTGATAGAATGGACATTCAGACAGCGATGTCGGCCGCGAGTTTCAGTGAGGGGGCCACGTTGATGTCTTTCCGGGTGTGCAAGAATCTTCCGGACAGTGCGTGCAGGCACTTGTATAGCTTCTGAAATTTGCGATGTGCTCATAGTCTCAGACATGGTAATCAAGAGCTCTCTGGCTGGGGGTTTAAGGTGTTTGCCCATTGTCGCACAACGGGAAATGCGGGCTAGCCATATTTGGCACGGAGGAGTGTCATTGGGACACAATATGTAATAAGTGCTCAAATTTTCCTAAAATAATCGAACAGCTGACTTGTTCCCGATATGTTTAACAAAATCTGATCGGCCGTTTTTTTTGTCTCTTGCTGTAAGTAGTCTAGATAAGATCACAATTAAGAGTGTGGCCGCAGTTCATGGAGGCGCGGCCGCTTGGCTTGTGGTACACAAATAAGATTGGCACGTACGTTTGGTTACTCAAATTTAGGTAAGTATGCATGTGGCTCATCTCTTAGTACTATTCACTGTGGTAACCGTTGCTTCTATATTTCAGAGAACACAGATGCAACTACTCAGTCGGGCTGTGGCAGCCGCGTGAAGGATTATAAATCACGCTACAGTATATGGAAATTACCGCCCAGTTTCCATGTGGCACTCGCAGACCATTCTCATGGACGTATCAGGCCGAGCTCGAGCACATGGGTATGTGTTCTCTGTGACGTATTTGCTTATGTAAAGGCTCCATGTGCCGAGGCTGCCGTGGATTTCAAATCCATCGTGCGCCCGCGCGCCCCGATCCACATCCTAACATCCCATTTCATTGTGACGTACATATCTTCTTTCCCGATTCCTGGATTCTCGTGCTACGGCACACTCGCCGAAGAACCTTCATCCAGTTTTGTACGTACTCGGCCGCATCCTGATACAGCTGATTCCAAAAAAAATTGCCGTTTGGATCTCATCGAAAGAGATCAGGGGGAATCTCTCTTCCTAAAAAGGTTGGCCAGAGTCATGCCGCACGAAAGTCTTTCCTTATTTGGTTAAATCCGCTTAGCGCCGGGGTCTCTGTTCACATGACATAGGCCGCACCAGTGCAAATATTCACGCCAACTCATGGAACACATCTGACCGACATCTGACACAACATGTAGGACACATGGGGCAATGGCAGGGCATATTTTGGCCGGACCGCGGCATGGTGTGAATGCAGGTTATATTGTGGCGAACACGGACTAAGGCTGAGGGTTCATATCAAAGTTGTTGACAAACAACTGCTGACATTGGTTTAAAACGTCAACGGGAACGCTGGATTTGTATCGTTCATAGAATATGAGGAAAATGGTAAGCCTCATATCCACATCTGTACCCTATTCCTGCCTTCCGACGCTCCCACTGAAGAACTGTCAACCAGACATCACAACCGAGCTGATTCGAACCTCTGAACTGCTTTACATGTGGGGCAGCTTTGATTTGGCTCGCTGGCTGGTATTTACTGTGAGTGCTTATCACATGAGAGGAGTACAAGGTCTCTGATTCTGTCATTCGCTGACACGCGTTTCCTCTCAATCCATGATGGTTCAGACACTGAATTTTCCTCGCTCCTGTTGTTAATGTCCCCTGCGTCCCCCGATTCTCCGGCTGTCATGTACAGCAATGAAGACACAGATTGATGTATATTTGATCCATGTGTTCAGTTTGCGTCTGTGCTCGGGGCGATCTATCTGTATTATCTGCGGGTATCTATGTGAAGGCGGCCCAACTGGGAGTGCCACATTTATTTGTTTGATTTTATTCTATTTTCAGGAGTTTCACGGTACCATTGGGTCCGCCGACTTCCTTAAAAAAGCTGAAAATGCTGCCAGATTCGGCAAAGAAGGGGGTTCCCTCGATCTCTCTTGATGAGATCCAAACGGCAATTTTTTTTGGAATCGGCTGTAATATTAATCGTATTGGGATATATGACGCTCGTCTTCGATGGACTTCTCACTAGCCTCAAGGGAAGACGAAACCTCAGCCCAAGGTGTATTGATATTAACCAGGTCGACTTCAGGTTCAACCCCCAAGCCAATCCGATCTACCTTTACTCCCACAATGAAGACTAACATCTTGACCTCCATCCTTTCCGTCGGTTTCTTCCTCCTCATCTCCCCAGCTCTCGCCCTTGTCGGTAGCATTTCAGCACCCACAACCGTTCTCCACCCAGGTCATAAATTCACCGTAACATTTCATACATCCCTCTACATCCAAAACAACCTCCAATTCTACGCTCTCTTCGGGATATGGCCTTCACCCGGCTTGGGCGAATCATACTTGGGAATTCCTATTCCAGCTGTTGGCCCCGTCCCTGGTGCAGATGGTGGACTAGGATTAGGTAACTTTCGAGTTGGACCCAGTGGGAAGGGAAAATTGGGCATCGATGTTGGTGGGATCGATTTGTGGGAAGCAACGTTAGCGAACACTGGGTCGAAAGCTTACAACGTGACGTTGAGATTACCTGTGGATTTGACGACGCCAGGAAATCGAACGACGAACTATACACTTCAAACGGGCGTGCTTGGGACGGTATGTTATTACTCCCCGCTTATTTCCCCCGGCTTCAAGCATTTATAATTAACACATTATATCTCTTTCCCTTCCTACCATCATTGCGTTCAAATCCTATTCACGTCACGCTTACCGGGTGGCTAGGTGGGAGCATCCGGACTGACGACGCTGTCCTTTCACAACACGACAATCAGGATCAAGTCTCCCTAATCTCCCGGTGGTCCCCAATGATATCGACCCAATCAGCAGTGTCGCATCGATTCCCCTTTCGTCGTCGGAGGAATACTATGTGTAGATATCAGCTTCCTACATACAGTTCGTTTAGGTCCTTAGACACACACAATTAGCACGCCTCTCATGAGACCCCTTTCCATCACTCACAAACGGAATGGACGTTATATTCGGATTCCTCTGTATGCACTTCTGTATCTACATTGGCTCAAGTGAAACTCAGACGCATTGGACGATGTATTTCTGGACTGTCTAAATTTTGGAACTACTGTATTGCTAGCGAGTGCCCTGGGAATAACAGTATTATAATGGCGTAGATGATCGCCAACACTCATTGGCACAGTGGCGCAGTTGGCTCGGTTCGTTATACCCCCTCGTACAAGCCCAACAGCGAATGCACACACAGGGCGCTCTGGGCGAGTTATTCCTACTTCCAATACCCCAAATCGGTCAGATCTTTCGAGGTGGGAGCGTCATCCCTGTTCTCATGTCATTGCCTGAGCAAGGCCTTAACTTCTAGTGTCATTTCTCACGTTGCGCACCACTTCTCCATGTGTGAAGGAGCGCATCTCTGGGTCATTAGGCCTGAGGAGTGACCATAGCCGAGTGGCGAGATGATTCGCTTGGTAAGGGAGGGATCTGTCTTTGTGCATGTGATAATGCAGTCCGGGTAACCCCATCAGAGGACAACGCAGAAGTTTATTGGCATTCCGCGGATGGAAAAGGGATGAGGAACAGATAGCTGATGTCTGAAGAATCGTGATAGTATTCTTGGATGGGCGAAGAAGATCATGGCTAGTAGTGGAAAGCGAATGTACTTACTAAGCTTCACGACGACGGACGTGCTGAAGCAGACAAGACATCTCTGGTGGGAAGTAGGTTCGAAACCAGAGGTGTTTGTCCGCGCCTCATCGTCGGTACATATTGCTATTGTGCAGGATAACGGTGCAAGAACTGACTGCCACGGCCGAAATGTCGGTGGGGCGAATCGACGGAGCCCGCCACTAGTTGTAGTCACCCAGTCTTGATCGGAGTCACAGACAAGTCATTCAAATTCGTTTTCATCATAACGGAGTGCGTGTGATGATAATGCAGCGCTGCAGAGTTTGGGTCGCTAAAATCCCGCACCTTACACGAACAGCTGATGCTTGTTTGATCTCGGATCCAGGAGCTCTGACCTTTGCATAGGTCCAACCGCACAACGAAAGGTTCACCTCCTTCCCCATTTTTTTCGGACAAAGCCCGGTCCGTCCAGGGCGGTGAACTGCAAGCTAACCCCTTGGATCACAGGGTACGTGACGTATGTGTGTCCTCGACCATGGATGCACCATCGAGCGTCTTGGGTAGGCAAGTAACCTCCCCATCCATGGCTAGGGACGTGCGGATGTTGCGCAGGCCCAAGAGTGAGTTGACACAGTTTTCCTTCCGTTGATCCAAAACCGCAGTTAGTGCCCAGATCCATGAACAACACCATAGCCGCTGAGGCCTCTGGCCTTCGATACGAGGTCCAGCAAGCTCCGATCGCTATGTAATTGAACCATTTCAATTCAAACGGGTACGGTTGCCGAGCAGGGCCAGGTCCAGTGTTGTACAGACCTGGTCGCAAATGGTCGCAAAGACCGAAGTCCGTGAGTCTGACCAGATGGTCACAAGTCTCTCCCACGGTCAGTGTAAGTCGGACTTTTCATCGGGGAATCCCGATATTCAAACCTATCCGCGACCTCAGTCAGTACTTCTTCATAGGATACATTTTGTTTGTTATGGATTAGACGTTGTAATGACTATTTGCTAGCATGCAAGAGATGCTGAGTATGATTCTACGACAGCTTGAGTTACACAACTGTGACTTTGCCCCCTGATTTGCCATGTTTCAAGTTAGGATTTCCGAAAACTCCACACAACCCCACTGTGTGATTCATGCAAGTCAAGTGGTCGAAGGATTTCTGGTCAAATGATGAGGCAGGGAAACCAGGACCGAGAGGGCTACGAACTCAGACGCTGAACTTGTTGGGATGGGTGGATTTCTGTAGTATTTCCTGGAGGAAGGGGTTGTTAGGAATGAGAGCCATTGCTCATTGAAACGTGAGATGCCTTGGTCTTTGGTCATGGTTAGCGATGTAGAAGAGAAGGAAAGCTTCTTCTCCAATTCATCCAGGTCCTAATTCCGAGTCTAACGAAGCAGCCATCCAGGCGAGACTTCGCAATAGATGGTACTCGGCTGTTTCCACCACTACTGTAAACCTGTTGGCGAAGATATCCTATCGCACATGTCACTGTAATATCAATGAGCCGTTCACTAAGTAATTTCAACATTGGGGGAGTGACCTGCTAACTGCGCAGCTTCATGCCTATCTGGGACTGAAAGGGCCGCTCTCCCGTATTGGAATCAACATGTTCCAAATGAAGCAATGTAAGAGGCACGACTGCCTCACTGGGGCCTTACATCGTGGTCAACGCAAGGCCGCTTTTTGCCTCGACTCAAGTGCCTCTGCGTGTATCGTTCACAAGGGCTAGGCGGGCTTTCCAGCCTTCATGCTTCGACCCCTGGTTCACTATCGTCCATACCATTAGCGTGATGCTTGGCAACAAACAGCCGCCATCTTCCTCTCGAGGTCCGAAAGGAAAGGTTCCTGCCTACCAGCTCTCTGCTCGTGGTCTACGGTCATCGCGCACATCGGGGTCCTTACCCCAAGCCCCTGAGATCCATATCACTGGTCCCCAGGAAACCCAGAACCTGAACAGTATCCGCGGGAACGGACAAGATGGACCAACAGGGTCGCATCTTGAGGAGCCTCCTAGTGATTCGGAGATATCCCCTTTGTGTTGTACTATGGGGTGGTTCGGGCGTTGGTCAAGTCTCAATTGCGGTGATAGGTCAACTATACCCCAATTAGAACTGTCTGCGTTTCATCACCAAGTCCCTGATACCCCGCAACTATCGCCATTTCATCTCGATCCCAAGCAGCCTGCTCGTTCGACGCGCAGCATCGACACTGCGCCCGACAGCGCTTCGAGCCTTCACTCACAACCAGAACGCGTGGAGTTGGACCCAGACGTGGATTCGTCACTGGAGCCGGCTCCCGGAAAGAAGCCGATCATTATCGGGACCACGGAGCTTATTCTACAGGCTGCTACCTCCGCTCTTAAACTTTCTCCTATTCCGCTTCTGAGCGAAATTCCGGGTCTACTGCTGACATTTCTCCAAGTTTACAAGGTTTGAGCAGCGTTCTAGTTTCACTATCGGCGATGACATGTGGCTTATCTTTGTCCATTTTTGGTTCACACAGACAGTTGACAGTAATAGCGAAAACCTCAAAGGGCTAGAAAATGAGGTCGTTAAAGCTTACACAACCATCCTGCGACCACTCCAACTGTGGACAGGCGAGATTCCTCCCGAAGTAAAGGCTCTAATCGAGGAATTCCATTTGTGCGTACATGCGCTTCAGTTCCACACTTGATTTTAAACCACATACACAGGGCTTTGGACGAACAGACGAAGCAGATTCGGGTACTTTCGAGTCAGAAGCTTGCAACGAGAATCGTTTCAGCGTCCGACGTAACCCAACGGGTAAACAGCGTGAAGACTTGCATCAACAACGCTGTCACATCATTCTCGGTTTGTTCCCTTAGTGCCTAAAGCATGCACGTTCGCTGATCGGAACATACCCCATAGACGAAGGCAGCGATTTTGACACTCCTTCACACAATTCAGTCTTCAACGCGAAGTACGCTTCTATGCAGATGCTTTTGGACTCTTTACTAAAGGGGACTACCAGCCGAACTCTCAAGACTCCCACGGGTCCCTGCTGAGCACACCTATGTCACAGCCAAGTCAGAGTGCCTGGAAGGCACACGGGAGAAGATACAGGCGTCTATAGTCGAACATCTGAAGAAAGCAGGGAACAGATTCGTCTGGCTGCGAGGCTCACCCGGAATGGGAAAGACTGCGATTTCCCTGAGCATCGCGTCCGACTTGGAGAAACAGTGCATATTAGCGGCATCCTTCTTTTGGGATAAGAATCAACCGGGAACGGGACTTGATTCCATTAAACAGTTTCCCTCCACTATTGCACATCAACTTGCATCCTTCAATGAGGAGTTCAAGCTCTCACTTGTCAAACGTCTTCGGCAGCGAGGTTTTGAGCTGGTGCAGAATCTCCCTCTAGAGAAGCAAATGAGGGCTCTGGTTGTTGAGCCTATGGGTGATCTCAAGGATTTACTGTTGTCGAGCAAGGACCGCTTCATCATCATCTTAGATGGCTTGGACGAGTGCGGGGATCAGGAAGCACTTGGAACCTTGATGGAGCTTGTGCTGATGCTTCGCGCTTTGCCTTCCACATTTACTGTTTTGGTTAGTTCTCGCCCAGAACCGCAGGTTATCTCAGCATGGGTCGATGCTGAGGATGGAGATTTCAACATCCCATGTGAAGATGTTGATAAGATTGGAGAGGAGACTTTGCACACAGTTCGCCGTATGGTGGAGGAGGGCCTTCGAGATTGTGTCAAGAAATCTGCGTGGAAGCCATCCCCGGAGGATTTTGATACCTTTGCTTCGGCTTGCCGTGGATTGCCTGTTATGGCCTCAATCCGCATACGTGACGTCCGCACTCGGACCCAACGCGGTTCCACTCTCAAGCGGGAGTTTGAATACCTTCACAATCTCAGAGATGCACCACTTGACCTAAAATCGGAGTATCTGCGAATACTGCGGCGAGCATATATGTCTGACCAATCTACTATTCCTCCACACGTAATCGAGAATTATCGCCAAGTGATTGGGACGATCATTGCAGCACGCGAGCCGCTCAGTTTACATTCGATGTCGCAGCTCCTAGGGATAGCTGAGGATGAACTCCGTGCGACCCTAGAGCCGATCGGTTCAATTGTTGAGTTTTCCTCGGAGAAATCACGATCCCTCCAAGGTTTGTTGCGGGTGCTTCGAATTACCCCCGATGCAGTATACCCCAAATTCTACCACGCAACGATGAAGGAATTTCTTACGGATCACCCGTTTGGTCATGAAAGTGATCAGCCATTCTTCATCAGTGATTTGAAGGGACATTTCTTGGGACCACCACTTCTTCGACTTGTAAATGACGTCATCAAACGGAATAAATCCAAAATCCGTTCTTTTGGAGATAGCAAGAAGCGGAAAGAACTTCAGGAGAAGCAGCAGCCTGAACATGTCCAATATGCTTTCCGCTACTTGTTCTACCATTCGGACCCATCAAGACTGTCCTCACAAGACTCCAACGAATTCAGCAGCGAGTTTGATGTCTTCCTCACCCGAAACCTACTTTCATTCTTTATGCTATCACGATTTGATTTCGAGTTGCCCGACGAATTGCTTCGATCTAACGTAAGTTTGACTTCATTCGATTCTACTGATTCCCAGTATGACATCACTTTTGCCTTGCAGAATCACAATTTGACTGAATGGTTCGAAGAAGTCAAGAGGGTGAAGGATATGATAACTGAAAATGAACTCAACCCCTCCCATATTTTTCGGTCAATTCTTCCCTTCACTCCCACTTCATCCCCACTTTTCAAGTCATATGGGCATCTCTCTGATCCCGTTCGAATTTTCAGCATCACTGGAGAATCCTCTAGCCATTCAATCCCATTAAGCAGGGATACTCTTAGTGTTCAAAGGGTTATGGAGGCGAAACTCAGTGCGTTACCGACAGAGATTGGTAGATTCGAGATGGATGGGGCGAACAGGATTATTAATCACACAGCTGAATTTCTTGATCCTGATATTCGTAATGGTATTGTGACCGCTGCAGCGCTCTCACGAGATGGCCGATACGTCGCACTCGGCTTTGGAAACGGCGTTATTGAAGTTGCTGACATTGACCATCAACACACCGTCGCTCATTTTCAATGTGACCCACCCAATGTTCCGGCTTGGATTGAATTTATCTGTGGCAGCCACCGGATTGCCACCGAAGATAATGAGGGAAACATCATGGTTTTTAGTCATGGTTCGCCGTCTGTGAAGGTCGGTACCCTCCCCAGTGGAGGTTGCCCCCCGTTACTCTGGTCGCAGACAACGGGTCATTCATCATACGAGTTCCTCGGAACATTGACTCCAAAAGCATGGCGATCTTATATGTTTCAGATGAGCCATCCATCCACCCTCTTTCCTTTCCGCATTCCATTATTTACGCACTCCTGCCTGACCGTTGTACACTTGGACTCTCCCCTGAAGGACGGTACGTCGTCGCCCATGATAGCGAAAATATCGCTATTTGGTCAACAGAGACGCGCGAGTTGGTTCATTTTCACACGTCTGGTTCTGCACTTCCTGCCGTCTACAACACATACCCTCGCCCACATCTCATAACCCAAACCCGAACGGAAATTCCTTCGCACCTGGAGAATGGCATCCCTCATGCTCAGAGTGGGCACGATGCGGATCTGTCATGGCTGGAGCGACTATCCCGTGAGCTCTCATCAAGATTCACCCAGGCTTCGGATATGCATCAGCAGCACCATACCACCTCCGGTGGCCGCAACATCAACATCTCCCAACGACATAGAAAGGCCAGAACACAGACGATCTGGCTCAATGGTAAACTTGAACTGCTTCTCCCACCAGACTACCACCCGATCATGCATGACCAGACTTTCGGTGAAGTATGGTACGGGGATCGAATGCTGGGGGATAAGTATAACCTCTACCTTCCTTGCGCTAGCAAAGATGGGACTCGATTTTTGGTCCAAGGTCGTATGCGAGCCCCAATCGTTGTCGATATTAGCCAAGTTGTCTAGTTCATTTGTGGCGTTCACTATGGTGCTTTTTTCTTGCATTGTTCGTGTCCCGTTGTACATGTGCATTAATGTATTTGAAAGTCAGGGACGAGCAGCAATATCCATGAACCTTCATCTGAAAGACGAGCTTGTTGGGCGTGTAAGCCTGCTCAGCTAGACAAGATCCTATAGAACTATCATGTTCTATAAATATTACTACAAGCTTGGCGATGGTCACTATTCTCTGTCCCCCGGATTAAACTGTCCATAATGTTGTAGATACCTGCGTCGCATAATTGCGACATGAACGATACATGAGTTAATGTGTAGAAAGTAAAATAGTGACTCCCATCACAGACTCGAATACGAGAACTGAGGAAGAGTCGCCCTTCTTATACACGACCAATACTCAGTGGCGACATTGTCGAACCAGGGACGATGGACAAAAACATGAAAAGGCCGGCAGATGCAGTAGCTGTTCAGGCCGGTCGTGCATGCCGCTTGAAAGATTATAGATAACGCCACAGCATATGGAGAGTGCCCAGTTTCCACCGTGCAGCACTTGACGTGTACCACAAAACTGGCTGCTGTCCAGCGATGTGTGACAGAGGCTCATGTGGGCTGTTCAGCGCTTTCACAAGCAAGACATCGAACTTTCTTGCGGCCTCTAGAGAGACCTGTGTCTCTGTATGGGCCCAGGTGATAACGGCGAAAATGGGACGAAAAAGGGTTCGTGAGGAACAGACATAGAAATGCAAGAGTTGGCTTGCGGCAGCGTCGACATTGGCGGGACTATCAAGGCTGGGGGTCTGCGCTAAGCAGAGAGAGATAAAAGCTACCCAACGGGGAGCGACATCATTTCCGTTTAACCAGGCTCAAGTAAGAAGAGATGGATTCGGTCGGATCAGATGCTTGACTACTCACCATAGTCTCCACAGTGTGGATGGGTAACCAACGTTCAGGTACCTCCACTGGTCGTCTCCCGGATCATGTTGAAAGTGCTGCGAATGAGTTGGAGCGAATCTGAAAGTGGGAAGGTAATCAACGTACGAAAACCGAGATGCAAACCTCGCCATTTTCGTAAATTTAATTGCACTCGTCATCGAATACTCCACAGGGATTCCAATCACAAACGGGTTGCCACACCTTGGTTAAGAATTTCAACTTTGGCGACAAAATTAAAAGGAGATACTCTTGGAAAATCCGCGGCGGGGGTTGGCGTAAATTCACAGGAGGGAAAGTTAGCTGTGCCCGATAGATACATACCTCACTGTGACGGAAAAATTAGATCAGGTGTGCTGCTCTGAAACGCCAGCGAACACAATGCGAATCGAAGACTAAGGCAAAAGCAGGCATGGAAATAACGTGTCACGGTCTACACGCCATGAGGTGAAGTCCAATGACCAAACTTAGGGGTATGGGGCACATCGCTGGATCGCTCGTGGAGGCATTAGGTTGAGCTCGAGCACGCATGAGTCTAAAAATGACATGTTTGCTTATGTAACGGGCTCCATTCCCCGCATTTCAAATTCATTTGTGCAACATTTTGATATCCTAACCTCCCATTCTGACCTATCTTCTTACGATATATCCTTTGCCGATTCTCGTAGGATCCGGCCGCGTGTCCGTTACAATAGTGTTGGGATATAAGACGCTCGTCTTTGATAGATCCTCACTTAGGCAGGACTCCAGCCTCTGACTTCGTAACTAACCTCAAGGGAAGACGAGACCTCAGCTTATCAGGGTCAGTATTAACTAGGTCGAGCTCAGGTTCAAACCCAAGCCAATCGATCCTATCTACCATTAAGTACTCGCTCGAATCAATAGAGGCTGGTAGCTCGAATCTCGGTCTCTCTGAAAACCATCGCGTCGCCCCATCCAGATACTCGCACAATGAAGACTCCTTCCTTCCTCATCTACCGCCCTAGTCGACAGCATTTCCGCACCCAGGTCAAAATTTCACCGTACCGTTCCATACATCCCTCTGCATTCAAAACAACCTTCAATTCTACGCTCTCTTCGGGATATGGTCTTCACCCGGCTTAGGCGTATCATACTTGGGGGTTCCTGTTCCGGCAGTTTCCCCCCGTCCCTGGTGCAGAGGGTGTGGACTAGGGTTGGGTAACGCTCGAGTTGGACCCAACGGGACGGGAAAGTTGGGGATCAATTTGCGGGAAGCAACGTTAGCGACACTGGGCCGAACGCTTATACGTTGAGATTAGCTGTGGATTTGACGATGCCAGGAAATCAAATGACGAACTACACTTCGCCTGGAACAGTGTGTTTTCCCGCTTCTTCCCCCCGGCTTCACGCATTGTAATTACGTTCAAGTCCTGTTCACACTCAACGACGTCATGTGTACCGGCCATCCAGGTGGGAGCATCCGGACTGGTAACACTGTCCTTTTACAACACGACAAGTTTCCCTACTATCCCGGTGGCCCCGGCCCAAACAGCATGGTCACATCGATTTCCCTTTCGGGGGCATATCGGCTTCCTATATACACTTCGATTGGGGTCTTTAGACACACGTATGATTGGCACGGCTCTCATGCATGAAATTCCATTCTATCACTCACAAACGGAATGGACCTTTTATTCGGGTTCTATATTAATTCACTTCACACCCATTGACGCAGTGGCGCAGTTAGCTCAGTTTGTTTCACACCTTGTCCAAGTCCAATAGCGAATGCACACACTGGGCACTCTGGGCGACTCCAATACAGATTGATCTTGAAATGTCATTGACATCATATTACTTTTCGGGCGGCCGCAAGTGAATGCACAGGAGTCATCACGACTAATACGACTTTTTACTCCAAACCCGACACTCTATACACTGTTCGACCCTCCGCAGCAAGATTACAGCAAAGAAGCACTGGCACTAGTATATATGAAACCGAAATCGGAGCGTTTCCGAGCTGGTTTTTGCCCGGGCCGCCGGGCGACGACTCCCCCAATGTCTAATGATTCAATTTCCACTGGCAGTGCTCCAGGCTGGCTTTGAATACTTAGTCACCGATTGCGGCTCGAGATGAGGCTGCCCAAATTATATTAGTTAAAGCCGCTGGTCTTGAATTTACAAGTATGCACAGAATCAGATCTTTCGGATGGGATTGTTATCCCTGTTCTTATGTGATCGCCCCGGACCTCATCACGATTTCACTGCAACTTATTTCTTACGTTGTACACCACCTCTCCATGCTTGTTGTGTGATCAAAGGAGCGTATCTGCCGTGCTCTGGGTCATTAGGCCTGAGGGTTTCAGAGTGATCATAGCGGAGCGGCGAGCGGGAGGAAACTCATTCGAATCTATGGGTAACAATGCCCAGACGCGTCTACCCCCATCGCAGGACGATGCAGATGCAGGCTGAAGTGTATTGGCATTCCGTGGATGGAAGGGATGAGGGAACAGATAACTCACGTCTGAGGAATCAGGATCGTGATATTCTTGGATGGGCGAAGAAGCTCATGGCTAACAGAGAATGATAGTCCCGTATTTCTTGACTGGGAGCCAGGAATAAAAGAAACTGGAAATCGATCAGCGCTAGAACTGACGGTCATTTTCAGTGAGGGCGATTCGACGAAGCCCTCCAGTAGTTCAAGAGATCGGGTTGAGGGTCGCCCATCACAGGGAGTCAATTGTAGACTCCCCCTGTAGCTTAGCTCAATTGCCTTTTGTGTTGCTCCATCGTGAGGTACATAGTCGATCCAGCGAGGGCGCTCACGACCACAAGGACCCGGCGCTTCCCGACGAAGACGTTATACTAGTGTTATACTCCAAGTCAGATCTCAGCCTTGATCGGAGTGGCACCCAAGGCACAACGTCCCAACTCGAATTTAAATGTGAGCGTCAGGATATCGATATCTGAATGCCGGTAGCTGGACACTTAATTAAACCAACCATGGCTTTTCGGCGTTTTCAGTCCGAATGAATGATACGCAGCTTCATGCCTAGTTGGGTTATCTGGGAGTTGGTGCGGTCGAAAGGGTCGCCGGTATCGGACTCATCACGTTTCCAAACAAGAGGCTAGGATCGTCCAATCAGTTGTTGCTTTGCATCGTGGTCAATGCAAGGCTTCTGCTTCTTGTCTTCACTCAAGTGCTTCCGCTTATATTCTGTGTGAGGTCTAAACGGGCTTTCCGGGCTTCATACTTCGATCCCTACGTTCACTATCATTCACACCGCCGTTTGCGCAATGTCTGGAAAAGACCAGCTGCCATCCGCCCCTCGACGTCAGAAAGGAAAGTTTCCTGCCTACCGGCTCTTTTCTCGTGCTCCGCAGCCGTCGCACGCATCGGGGCCCGCACCTGAAATCCGGATTGACGGTCCCGAGGGAACCCAGAGCCTTGATGATTTCCGCAGCAGTGGACATGATGGGTCAATAGGATCTCACCCCGAGCGATCTCTTGCGATCGTGCCAACCGCGCCGTCTTCCCGCAGCCTTGGAGACTCGGAGACATTGCCATTCCGCCGCATAACCAAGTGGTTTGAGAAATCATCAAGTCCCAACCGCCGTCACAGGTCAACTCCATCCCATCCGGAACCGTCTGCAAGCACACATCTTCAACCAGGCCCTGACACCTCGCGGCTGTCTCATCTTTACCCTGAACAGAATGTTGATAACCGTCGGTCAACGCCCAGCATCCACACTGGCGCCGACACCACTTCGAGTCTCCACTCACAACTAGAACGCATCGGATTGGATCCAGATGTGTTAGAGCCAACGAGCCCACCGCCTGCCCTATCTGGTGATGGGAAGAAACCGATTATTATTGGCACCACGAAGCTCGTTCTACAGGCCGCTACGTTCGCTCTCAAGGCTTCTCCCATTCCGCTTCTGGGAGAGATTCCAAATCTACTTCTGTCATTTCTCCAAGTTTACGAGGTTTGAGCAACGTTTGAGTTTCATGATCGGTGATAGGATATGGCTTATGTTTGTCCGACCTTGATTTATGTAGACTGTTGACAGTAATAGCGAAAACCTCAAAGGGCTAGACGATGAGATTAATAACGCTTATGCCACCATCCTGCGACCGCTCCAGCTGTGGACGGGCCAAATCCCTCCCGAAGTCAGAGTTTTCGTCAAAGAATTCCATTCGTGCGTACATTCGCTTCTCTATTTGCTTATTCGAGTTCAAACCACGTACCCAGAGCCTTGGACAAGCAGACAAAGCAGATCCAGACACTTTCGCATCAAAGGCTTGCGAAGAGAATAGTCTTGGCATCCGACATATCGCAGCGCCTAATTGATATGAGGGCCTGCATTAACAAGGCTGTCACATCATTCTCGGTTTGTTTCCTTTGCGTTTAAAGCGTACGGGCTAGCTGATTGGAACATACCCCAAAGACAGAGGCAGCGATTTTGACACTTCTTCACGCAATTCAGTCTTCAGTGCAAGGCGGGTTTCTATTATACGAGGTTTTGGATTTTTTACTAAAGGTCACTGCAGCCGAACTCTCAAGACTTCCGCGGGCTCCTGCTGAGCACGTCTACGTTACAGCAAAGTCAGAGTGCCTCGAAGGTACACGGGAGAAGATACAGGCATCTATAGTCGGACTTCTGCGGAAACCAGAGAGCAGATTCATCTGGCTGCGAGGCTCGCCCGGAATGGGGAAGACTGCGATTTGCCTGAGCATTGCGTCCTACTTCAAGAACCAGGGCACCCTAGCTGCATCTTTCTTTTGGGATAAGAATCAATCGGGAACGGGACTTGATTCTATTAAACAGTTTCCCTCCACTCTTGCATATCAACTCGCGTCCTTCAATGAGGAGTTCAAGCTCTCACTTGTCAAACATCTTCGGCAGCGAGATTTTGAGCTGGTGCAGAATCTCCCTCTAGAGAAGCAAATGATGGCTCTGGTTGTTGAGCCTATGGTCGATCTCAAGGATTTACTGTTATCGAGCAAGGAACGCTTCATCATTATCTTAGATGGCTTGGACGAGTGTGGGGATCAGGATGCACTTGGGACCTTGATGAAGCTTGTGCTAATGCTTAGCACTTTGCCTCCTACATTTACTGTGTTGGTCAGTTCTCGCCCAGAACGGCAGGTTATCTCAGCATGGGTCGATGCTGAGGGTAGAGGTTTCAACGTCCCATGCGAAGATGTTGATAAGATTGGAGAGGAGACTTTCCACACAGTCCGTTGTATGGTAGAGGAGGGCCTTCAGGGTTGTGTGGAGGATTCTGTGTGGAAGCCGTCAAGGAAGGATTTTGATACCTTTGCTTCGGCTTGCCGTGGATTGCCTGTTATGGCCTCAATTCGCATACGTGATATCTGTGGTCAGACCCAACGTGGTTCTACTCTCTGGTCGGAGTTTGAGTACTTTCGCGATCTTACGGATGCACCACTTGACCTGAAGTCGGAGTATTTACGAATACTGCGGCGAGCGTATATGTCCGATCAATCCAGTATTCGTCCTCGTGTGATTGAGAATTACCGCCAAGTGATTGGGACGATGATTGCCGCATATTGGTCACTCAGTTTATCTTCGATGTCGCAGTTACTAGGAGTGGCTGAGGATGAAATCCGTGCAACCCTGGATCCAATCAGTTCAATTGTATCATTTCCCCGGCGAGAATCATTGTACCACCGCTACCCGAAGATATCATTGTCCCACGATCCCTTCGAGGAATCATTGTCCCATGATGGTCCGCTATATCCCAAATTCTATCATGCAACGGTGCAGGAACTCCTTACTGGTCACTCAAATGGTCATAAAAGTGATCGACCTTTCTTCATCAGTGATTCAAAGGGGTATTTCTTGGGGTTGCCACTCCTCTGACTTGTCAATAACGTCATCAAACAGAATGAACCCAAAATACACCCTCTAGGAGATCCTGAGAAGTGGAAAGGGTTCACAAGCAAGGAGCAACCCCAGCATGTTCAATATGCTTTCCGCTACTTGTTCTGCCACTTGGACCCATCGAAGCTGTCCTCACAAAATCCCAATGAACTCTTGAGTGGGTTTGACACCCTTCTCAAGTGAAACTTACTTTCGTTCATTGCGCTGTCAGGAGTTAATTTCGAGTTACCCAATGAATTCCTTAACTCAAATGTAGGTTTAATTCTACTTTCAGCATCATGACATCACCTTGCCTTGCAGGATCACAATTCGAGTGAATTGTTAAAAGAAGCTAAGAGGGTGAGGGATACTGAAGGCGAACTCAAGTCCTCCCCTTGGCACATTTATCGATCAGTCCTTCCCTTCACTCCCCCCTCATCACCACTCTTCAAGCTCTATGGACACCTTTCTGATCTCATTCAGATCTTCAGCATTACAGGAGAATTTTCTGGCTATTCAATTCCCCTAAGCGAGAATATGCTCAATGCTCAAAAGGCCATGGAGGCTGAGCTGCTAAAGCCACGTGAATTGCCAAAAAAGGTTGATGGATTTAGGACAAGAAAGACTTTGACAGATCTGATGGATGAGTTTGATGGGATAGATGAGTCCAATGAGACGAATGAGACAGACGGCATCAATCACAAAGCCGCATTTCTTGTTCCTAATATTCACAATGGTATTGTGGCTGCTGCAGCACTCTCACGAGATGGCCGTTTTGTCGCACTCGGCTTTGGAAATGGTGTCATCGAAGTTGCTGACATCGATCATCGCCAAACCACCGTTCAATTCCAATGCAACCCACCCAATCCTCCAGCTTGGATTTAATTTATCTGTGGCAGCCACCGGATTGCCACCGAAGATAATGAAGGAAACATTATGGTCTTCAGCTGTGGTTCACCATCTGTGAAGGTTGGTACCCTCCCAGAACATTGACTTCCATTGGTACAAAAACATGGCGATCTTATATGTTCCAGATGAGCCATCCCTCCACCCTCTTTCCTCTCCTCGTTCCGTTGCTCCGGCCTCCAGGCCAGCCATGCCTGACCATCACACACTTGGACTCTCCCCCGAAGGATGGTACGTCTGAGGAAATTTGTATCCGGTGCGACTACTGGACTTATCCGGAGCTCCAAATTCTTATGATGTAAACCAGTGTGACTGGACAAATGACATAAAATGGACAAGCCTGGTATCGAACCCAGGACTTCTAGCGTGCATCCATACACTACTCGCCCATCATGCCAGGGGGGGTACCCCTTCCCTGATGGTTTGGGAGATCACTTGATCCCTTCCTCCAACAACGTCATCGTCCATGATGGCAAAAATCTCGCTATTTGGTCAACAGAGATGCATGAGTTACTTCAATTTCATGTATCTAAGTCCCCACTTCCCGTCTCCTACAACACATACCCTCACCCACATCTCATAATCGATGCTCAAACAAGAATTCCTTTGCACCTGGAGAATGGCATCCCTCGTGTGCAGAGCCCCATGGTTGGGCATGATGCAGATCTATTGTGGCTGGAGCGACTATCCTGCAAGCTCCCATCATGGCTTGCCAGATCCAGTCCCATGTCAATAAGGGTCAGCTGCCTATCCATTAATGAGGACAGCACATAGATGATCTGGCTCAATGGTAAACTTGAACTGCTTCTCCCACCAGACTACCGCCCGATCATTCTTGGCAACAGGGACCAGATTAACAGTCAAGAAGTATGGTATGGTGATCAAATGCTGTGAAATGAGGATCGCCTCTATCTTCCTTGCGCTAGCAAAGAAGGGACTCAATTTTTGGTCCAAGGTCGTATGCGAGCCCCGATCGTTGTTGATATTAGCCAAGTTGTCTAGTTCTTTTGCAGTTTTCACTGATGCTTTTTCCTTCATTGTTTGTGTCCCATTGTACATGTGCATTACTGTATTTGAAAGTCAGGGACAAGCACTACATTATCCACAATATTCATCTGACAGAGCTTGTTGGGCATGCAGGCCTGCTTGGTATCATATAGAACTATTATGTTCAATAGATCTTATGGTGATGGCCATTATTTCCTGCCCCCAGATTCTCATGCATAATATAATGTTGTAAATACATATGTCGCATAACTGCGACATGGGCAATACATGAGTCAATGAGTAGAAAGTAAACAGTGACTCTCACCTCAGACTCGATTAATGTGAGAACTGATGGAGAAGAGTTCCAAAGATTCACCCATTTTATACCTGACCAACGCTCAGCGGCGGGATTGTCATAATGGACGAAAACAAGGGAAGGGAAAACAAACAAGCAAGAACTTTGCCAAAGCTCCATGCCACTCATTACCCTTTCGATGTAACTTGACGTTGATATTAGGGGAAAAATGGATTTCATCTTATTGTTCATGGGACTCTGATTGGTTCAACATACATACTGGCTGTTCTCTAATCCTGCTATTCAGGGTCTTTCAACAACGCAGTCGAGACCAGTGGATAAACAAGGCCATCATTAGCCCTTGATCTGAACAGTGGCACCGAAGCACGAGAAAGTGATTTATTGGTCCTGTTGCCTAGACCTGGCCCTAGTCAAGCCCCATATTGCCATATATACACCAAACATGCAGCTCAGAAACGTGTTGTATGTTCCTGATATTCCGGTTTGTAAGATTTCCCCCTCGAAACCCAAAGCTGAGAGGTACTATCAAAAAGTGTAATCCACTTCATGAACCTTCATGAACCTTCATGGATCCCATGAATTTTCGTGAAACATCATAGAGGTTCATGAACCTTTATGTTTATATACAATATTTATATTGAAATCATTAATTTTCAACCCAAAAAATTGATTTTTTTTGGCAAGCATGAACCTTCATGAAAAATTTCATGAAGCAGCATGAAATTTCATGCTGTTTCATGAAACTTCATGAAGGTTCATGACTGCTGACTTCATGAAGAGTCATGAAGCCATGCATCATGATCTTCATGCAGAGCCATGAATGTCCATGAATGTCCATGCATCGTCATGCATCGTCATGACTCTTCACAGGAATTCATGAGTATGCCCAAAAAATTCCCATACCTGCACATGAATGCTCATGACCATTCCTAACTCTCCATCAATATTCCTGACTCTTCATGGAGAGTCATGACTGAGCAGCACATGGCTTGAGTGTGCAAGGTGCAACCAAATTTCCCCCCATTTGTCTCTCCTGTCATATCCATCCACTGCCACCACCTTCTGTCACCTCCAGCCATCCTGGATTGCCTCTGCTCCTTCATCTCCAACCTCAGAGCCCCCAGATCCTGCAATCTCCTCCGACTCCCCTGATGGTCACCACCCACCCATTTCAATATATTACCTAAGTACAGAACCCCAAAGGTCTCCCCTCTGCTGGGTCATTTAGTTGCCTACCCTGCAAGTCCACCTTTGGACCGATCCCTCCATTCCACTTCTGGGTTATAGCCTGTTAACCCTGTAACCCAAGTCATCAGTAGTATTCAGTTGGCTAACCCTTGACCCTGTTAGGTCAGCTCCATCCAGCCCCTGCCATTTATGGGCCCGCTGCCTAGACTCCCTCTGTATCTATATATACATAACTTGTAGTTACTGTACACCTCAGTGAACAAATCAACTAGAGTTAATCCCCCTCTTCTAGAAGACTCCTCAGTCCATAAATTAGGGCACTGACGTGATACTGGGCACAGTGCTCCTGGTAGAGTTGCTGAGGCCATAGCCCTCTGAACATAGAGTTGTTTCATTTGTCCCAAATCTGGTCTCTGACATCTCCTTCAATTCTCCATCAAATGTTATGTGGTAGGTACTGTTTTTGTCACATGAATTAAGGCTTTTTTCTGTATCTCATTGTGATGCAATAGTCCCAGATTATATGAAGGAATTTGGACGAGCTGGTTCACTATATGTGCACTTATTCTGCTTACTGTGCTCTCAAAAAATACAGAAAATACTTTGGGTTATATTCTTCTTCATGCACATTCATGAACATTCATAAGAAGGCATGGGGGTGCATAATGTGTCCTGTCAATTTCCAACTTGAACTGGGTATATTTGGTCATGAAGGTTCATGGAGGTTCATGAAACTTGTCAGGGCCCGGCCCTCGTTCCATGACGGGCCCAAGGGGATCCTCCGAGTCGCTGGGGTATCTAGTCCCAGTCCGAGGTCTTCAAACTCACTGAGGGGGCTAGCCCCAGCCTTCACAGGAAATGAGTTGAGAAGAAGGGTAACCTTCTCAACCTCCTGTGAAGCCGCTACAAATGGGAGCCGGGAACTATACAGTTTTCGGCTCTTTGCCGACTTTCCATAATTGGCACCCCCCCGTGGGAAGATTCTGGGCGAGCAGCTCGCCCAGAAAGTTCCCACGGTTGTGGCTGTGATGGTTTCTGGGCGAGTAACTCGCCCAGAACGTTCCCACGGTCTGCATGCATGCGGGATTGTGGAACAGTGAAGGGAAAAATAGGAGAAAATGGGGGAAGGGTACCTGAGGGTGTGTGGGGTCAGGGGCTGTGCCCTGACAAAACTGCATGACTGTGTATGCTCCTGCATGAACCCTCATGAATTTCTGTGCAGCTGTCAGGGCACACCCACCTGACCCGGGCCCACCTGGGTCCACCCAGCCACACCTCACCCACTGCCCCACTCCCCATCCTTTCCCTCCCTCCTCCCCTCCTCTTTCTTTCTTTCTTCTCTCTCTTCTCCCTTTTCTTTATTTCATTCTTCCCATCATTCCCCTCCTGTTTATTCTTTCTATTTACATGGACCACTTTCCTTTGCATCAATGTACTATTGATGTCAAAAACCCCAGATCATAGGGGAAAATGCGTGAGTCTGAATGCAGGCGGGGCTCAACTAGATGGGATCCAAGAGCTCCAGTAGTGGACCGAAGCTTCTCCAGGAAGCCCGGTTCTGCTGGATGGTACAAGAGGCTCTAAGGAGGATGTGGCCTCAGCGACTCGGAGGGAGCGCTGTGCCTCTGTTACGTCTCAGTTAGTCCTTGTATTTCTTATGTCTGAGGTATCTTGTAGGAAGGGGCCGGGATTCACTCAGAGGGACTTGGGGTAGCATTTTAGTCGAGATTAGAACTGAGGAAAACTACAGGTTCTAATCTACAGGTATTTATAAGGGGGAATGGAAAGGACTTAGTCAAAGTCCGAATGATAATAGAAGAACACTGAAAGGTGCTGAATGATACCGAGAGGTACCGAAAGGTGCCGAACGATATCCTTAACGGGGAACTGAGGTGTCGGGTCAAGGGGGGTGGAGTAAGAGGCCGGAAGATGAATGGGAACGAGAAATGGGTAAGAGGGGGCTAGCCGACTGAATGGTAAGAAGAAGATAGTCATGCTATGAATGGAAGGTGACTAATAAATGATGATGTGAGTGGGGTCACCAAAGGATGCGGATAGTTCCGAAGCGGAGTTACGTATCCAAAGGATGTTGGGTGACTCCAATAAATGAAATGGGTGGGGAAATGGTTTAGGGGTGTGTCACAGGATGTCGGAGGTCCGTCGGGATATTGGAGGAATCCGGAGTCTCTGAATGTTCCGACTTGGGGCCAAGCTTCTGGGATGGGAGTAGCCAAGGTTCGGTGTGCCGCAACCAGGCCAGAGCTGAGACAGTTAGGAAGGGAGGTGACTTGGGGAGTGGGGAGGCATGGTGTAGGGGATGGTGAAGTTGTTAGGAAGGTGTGGTGTGGTGGGAGTGCACGGGGTCGGGATTCTGGGATATGACAATTGACCCGCCTGACCCAGACTCCCTGGATGGCTCCCCACTGTGCCCAGCATGCGCGCCTGCACCGGATGCCCTCAGGATCCCCTGCGGGGACACCCAGATGGCTGTGGCTGTCTCCGAGGATGACATGGCATCCGTCATGTGACTCAAGCCACATGTACTAAATGTACCTGAAGTGGGAACCGAAGAAGTAACCTTCTTCTCACCTTTTCCACTTCAGTCTGAGTGGCCAGGGACAGCTGTCCCATATCGGGCCTGCCAGTACGCACGCCTGATCTACCCCCTGCGAGGTCTTCAGCGCCAGGTGCTATACCCAGGCCCCCTTGACCCCGGATACGTCTGTCAGGGCACACACCCTGACTAGCCCGGACCCGGACCTGCACCCGCTTGTGTGCTCTGCCCCGCATGCTCCATGTGCCACATGCTCCGGGCCCGGTTCCCACTCTTCATGTGACTTCCGGGTATCCCCGGAAGTTTTCACCATATTGGGCCACTGTGGGAAAGTGAGAAGTTAACCTTCTTCTCACTTTCTTACCCACAGTAGGCAAGTGTACCTTACTTGCCTTTCTATCTATTACACTTTCTTACCCACAGTAGGTTGTGCCTTAGGATAGGCTGTTCACACACAGGGCTGTGGGCTATAGAGAGAGGGGTCATGGGGACCTGGGGTCCATCCCCTGACAACGTCCCTGACAGCAGCTTCGTGAAACTGCATGAATTCATGACCCTTCATGACTTGGGATTACACTTTGTTGCAGTTACTGAAAGCTGAGGTAGGGATCCTGCTTGAAACAGAGGATGATTTCATCGTCACAATGCAGATATCGTGTGATGAGGTGACCTGCGGTCGATTGAGAAAGAACAATCAATTGTTGTCACAGCCTCGATTGCATCAACATGCATAATACGACATGCCTGATCTGCGAGTGCGACTCTGTGCCTAGGGTTTTTACACATCAGCACACCGAGAATACTCGCAATCCAGCTAGGAATTCCAGACATCCTCAGGATCTCGATCCCGACAATGGTAGCACAAAGTTCGGAGCGTTATATTACTTTTCAGCCGGCAGTAAGTAAATCCACAGGAGTCATCATGACTAGTACATCTTTTGACCTTTTGACTCCAACCAGTCGTTCCATATGCCATTTGTCCCTCCACGGTAAGAGCAGAGAAGCACTGGTACTATATATGAATCCGAAATTGGAGCGCTTTCGAGCTGTTGCCTGGCCGAAGACTTCCCCAACATGTGATGACCGGCCAAACTACGTATCACCAGAATCAATCAGCGCTAGAGCTGACCG